CACACACACACACACACACACACATATACATACATATATAAGCAACGCAGGATTGATGATGACATTAATGGTTTACATAAAAAGTAGGACATCGAGGGAAGAAGCAAAATGACTGATTCATCTGGAGAATGCAGTAATGTGCCAACTTGAATTATTTTTGTCTCATTTGAACGGTGCAAATTTACTTCTGCTAAAGAATAAATAATATTTATGATAGAATTGATTTGAAATTATTTAATTTTAACCTTGACCTAAATGACCTATGAAATGCTGCAGGAAATGAAAGAATGCTTAATTAACAGAAATGAGTATGTTTGACTATTGTGACAGCTGTGATCAATAAAATGGTTAATAATATTGAAAATACGCCCACAATAACTATAAAATTCAATCTGAATCATTTTTGAACTATTTTTTCAAAAAAAAAAGAGAAAACAAAAATTTTAAATTCATTCTAAGCAAAAGTCAATTGAAGCGAATTTTAATAGCTTCCTTTCGCAAATTTTTTATTACTATTAATCCTCAATTTAAATTTAACGAAACATCCGGAAAGAGGAAGACCCGGAAACAGGAAGATGACTGGATTCATCAATCTCTCTATCAATAACAAAAGATTACTTGATCATATCTATTCTTTACTGGAACCATCATATTGTCGAGCAAGCTAATAATCTCTTCATTTTATATTGATTAATCTTAATTTATTAATTCTCTAGAAATTAACTGTTAATTTTAAAAAATATTGATTATCTCAGAGAATAATAGAATCATATAACTGTGCTAATATCTATAATGCTGTACTATTGTAACAATTTGTAATGAATAAACACAAGCAGAATTATTTATTTGGAAGACATATTTAGCAATTGAATAGGGCTTATCAATAAATGATTACAATTATTAACATTATATCTATCATCCCTGCACATGTGAAGTGATCTTTCGTGAAGCACCTAAATTACGTGATTGTTGCTGTTGTTGTCGTTGTTGTTGTTGCGGTGATTTCGATTGCACCTGTTAAATGATAATTTATATGAAATTATCTTTTCTCATAATCAAGAACAAATTATTACAATTAAATGAAATTTTAATTTTACTTGTTAATTCAAATGATCGTCTATTTTCAAGGATATAATCATTATTTATCTTTATTTCATTGCTATATTCTTTTCTAAAATGGTCATAAATATTGATATTATTTGTTATTTGGAACGATAAAAGTAGCAAAATTAATATTTAAAATATTTTTGGGAAAAAATTTAATGCTTTAAATATCTCGAGAAAAAAAATGCCTTTTTTGAAAAATTAATATGATGCTTCGGTTTCTCAGTTGCAATTGAGGAGGAATCATAAGGCGATGAAATTGTTGGAGTTCGAATTCCAGTATGAATACACACGGATGACGCTTTTGATGACTGCGGCAATTTTGCAACAGATTTCATTGATAGCTGTGGGATATTTGTTGACAATTCCGAATGACCTCTTCCATATTTCATTTTATTCTAAAAGAAAAGAATTGGTAACTGTATAATTTTGAAAAAAAAAAGAAAAGAAACGTAATTATTATGTAGGAAATAAATTGGCTAAGTTTGTTGAAATGATGCATTCACCTGCGCTCCATGAATTATTGCATCATTGGTTCCTTTTGTAGCAGATTCTGGCGTGCTTTGAGCTTGGCTCTGCTTTAACATTGGCCTCACTACTGACTTTGGCTTATTTCCTATCTATAATGAGCTTCATTCAATTGTGCTAAATAATTAAGAAACTGTCAGGAATTTGTCACCATTAGTGATTAACTTGTTCAAAATACACTTCTGTCTGTCCAAATAAATAGCCCAAATCTTTGGACAATTGGTATGGATGCTTATGATTAGTAGTATTGTCGCTAACAATGGTTAAAATTTAAAACTTTTATTTGTCATTTATGGAAATTAATTAATTAGTTCAGTTCGAAGATGCAAACGAATATCATCTGAAAGTTTTTGCTTCAGTGATAGCATTAAATTAATCAAAAATTGACCTTTTCAACAGCTAAATTTGCTGCTGTATCGATATTTGGTAAGGCCATCTGATTTTGCATTGTTGCAATTACTGTATGTGTTTTCTTTCGTTCAAAAAACTGTCAAAAGACTCTTTTTTTTGTTGAAAAATGAAACTTTTGAATTCAAAAAAAAGCGAAATGACGTATAACGGATTTTCATTGTTTCAATTTCTATTCGAAATTTCTTAATAAAATTTGACTGTATGGTTCAAATTCTAAATATACGGAAATATTTTAAAGAATATGGTTAGCAATGATTTAGAATAGGAATAGCTCATAAGAATAAAATTAAATGAAATACTACAACGAACAATAAAAATTTCCATTTATTTTCATTCAAATATTTGAAATGAATGAATAGATAATTAATTACCTTAAAATTTCCATCCTCATGATGTTTCTCATTTTCCGCCGAATTATTATCATTCATGGAAGTTGCTGTCCAATATCGTCTGTTACCTGTTTTACTCTCTGCAATGCGCTCTTTTCGTCGTGGAATCTTTGTTTTACTTGAATTTAAATTGAAATTTCGATCCACTTGACGTGGTATTGAATGACTGGTGCGTTCTTTCATAGTATGAGCTCTTCTATGTATCTGAAATACAAACTGTTATTTACAGCATTGATAAATATGAAATAATAATAAGAAATGTTGAAATATTTTACAAATTTGTTTGAAATGAATGAATGAATGAATACTTTATCCTCAATTGGATCGATTATACATTGTGATTCGTGTGGTTCATGCTCCTCCACTACCTGTAATTCAATCATTTCTATTAAGTGTATTTTTTCCTTGAATTAAATTAATCAGAGAATTTAATTGATAATATTTAATTGATAATATATTTTTTGTTTACCTTTTCACACAAAGAAAATGGTCGTGATCGATCTAACGATCGCGTTCTTTCCTTATAGTTGGCGACATTGATTGCTGCCACACCAGCGCTGGATGATCGTTTGTATATCTAAAAAGATCTTAAAAATAATTAAGGCGTTTGTAAAAATTTCAATCAACATTTCACAGATATCTCTTATTTATAGATATTTATGCTAATAATATGACTAATAATAAGTAACAGTAACATACCCTGTTTAGGCTTGAAAGTTTCGGTGGTGGAGCTCTGGCTTCATGCATTTCCACAAATAAACCACCTATATATAATAATAACATTACTTCATTTGACCTTTTTTTGAAAGTTATATTTTATTTTGAATTTTTGAATACATAAAATTTTGAAGACAATAATAGAAAATATTAATGTAAGCAATTGAAAAAAAAGCTAACATTCCTGTATGCGACATTGTTCCTCCACACTCAACAAATTCCACGTTTTAGCCTTCACAACAGATGCTGCATAATGCAGCAAATGTTTATCGGTTAAGTCATACAGTCGTCGAACCAATGCTATGAATCGCTACAATTAAAATATTTAAGAGTAACTTTTAAAACCTAATGAAATATTATTTCTTATTATAACGATAGCTTACATCTTCTCTAATAACAGAAAACTTTAGAAGATTTCTGTTTTAAATTTGAATCGTCATTATCTAATAAACAAATCCAATACAAGCTATAATTAATAAATTATTTATTAATAGGGGGAGAAATTTAAGTTTACTGAGGGAAAAATTTTTTGAAAAGAAATGATCAATAAATCGATAAAAAAATTTTAATTGAATAAATAAAAATAGTCATAGAAATGGATATTAAATGCTAATTTAGCATCGATATGACAATTGTGCTATTACTACAAAACCAACAGTAACTTACTGGATTCCATTCATCATGATCAACTTGCCATACAGGATTTTTGCGTACTGTTGTTTGTTGACTGGCAGTGATTTTTAGCAAATCAGCAAGATTAAGATATGTCTGTATCGCAATATCAGCTGATAATGTATGTATTACTGCGGGAAATATATCCTCCAATACAAGTAGATTTAATGCCAAACCCTGTAAAATTCAATATACTATAAAAAAGCTTAAATAAAAATTGCTTCTTTAATTTGCAAAATATTTTCTAACTTTTAGAATTATGTGTATAAATTTTTTAATTTTATAATCATTTCAATGATAACAATAATAATTGCATCATACTTACTTTACCATGCGTTTTAAAAGATTCAGATGCAACCACAAGATCGAATGATTGCAGCAAGAATTCTTGACTGTATTCAATCAGATCATTCACCAAACATTGCACTGCTTCTGCTACTACAGCACTCGATTTTGATCGTGGCAGTGATACCTAATTTAGAAGAAAGCAATTATTTCATCAATAATCACATTCTCTTCTAGAAGATCAAAAATGGAAATTAATTATAATTTATTGTAAAATTATCAAAAACGATGAAAAACGAAGAGTAATAAAGAAACGTAAAGCAATTATTTGAAATTAAAGCAAAAATTTCAACATACAAACCTGAAGTCTCTGACAACCCAATAATACATCTATCAACGATTCCTCATCCTGAATTTTATAAATTAATTTCAAAAAAATTTCATCATATTTTCCTAAACAATTCCATGATTATTTAATCTTATACCAAATCTTTTAATTCAATTGAAGCTAACATTAAAGCATGGAAATATTTTGAATTTGACAAAAAAAAGAAAGTATCATTGGCTTACAAGTTCTTGAACGATAGTTTCAAAACATTCTCTTTGCCAATGTGGATTCAAATGCATAAATACACGACCTTTCCAGATTCGCGAAAAATGTTTCGCTTGCCAGGATAGGGCCTAGAAAGGAGAATTTTGAAAAATTTCAAAAATACATTATGATAAAAATATGCAAAATGATAAGTGTGAATCATTGTGACCTCTTTGTAGAGGGGCTGTAAAGAGCGTATCGTACTGAATTGTGGAAGAGCATCAAATACCGCCGATACACAGGTAGCACATGGCTGCAAATACATTTCAATGTTTACCTTCCTAACTCTCCATCCTTTTTATTTCGATACCTTTCCAAAAATTAACTTGAAAAGTGTTAAACAGCGTGACAATTATTTCTAAGCTAATCAATTTGCAGTATACAAATTTTTCTTCTATTAATTTTTACACATTAATTACAGTAAAATTCACCCGATGGAAGAAATGACATTTAGTAGCTCGAAAATGAAGTAAAATGACTTGAGTAAGGCTTTCCATATTCAAATGAGTGGCCAGGGAAACAAGCTCCCAGATATCAACATCCTCACCAATTGATGTTAAGCCACCATATAAAAATGATATGAAATAATGGACTGCAGTTCGGGAATACCTTGAAGTTAATTAATTTTAGCAAACAATATTTTGCCTGTTATTATTAAATTGCTTGCAAGTAGCTTATAGGACTATTTTACGTTTTCAAGTAATATTTTAAGTATTGACCATTCATTTCTTCATTTATCAATGTTAATCAATGCATACATCTCTTGCTATCATCTAACAGTCTGATAATTTTTGTCCTTTAAGAAGTTTATTTATTAATTTAAATAACATTTATCAATCCAGTTCCTTGTTATTAATACAAATTAATTACTACTACAAACTACTTTGTCATGTCAGCTCTCCTTTTTTTATCTCCAGCAGCTGATGGAATTTAATAAATTAATTGCCAGTTTACCCGTTCAATTCGATCCATTCATATTGTCGATTCACTAAATGATCTTTGAAATATGGACAAGTGGCTGATAAAATGCACCTAAATTGTTGATAAGATTGTAAAAAGATTAATTTCGGTAATTGGGGAAAAATGAAATTAATTATTACGAACACCCTATAAATACTTTTAAACAGAATCTTAAAAAAAAGCTTTCGTCGAAAAGTTAGAAATCTATAACAAGTTGAATTGTTGATAAACACAGGTATAATGTTATTCGCTGATACTATCACAAATGTCGACAAACCGGTGTGCGAACAGCTCTCCATTATCAGTCTTGATAATAACATCCGTATCAATATTATTGAGGTACATATTTAGGAGGTCCGCTGCCAATTTG